TCACATATTTTTCATATTTCAACAGTTAACCCGTCGGCTACCATTAAATATCACCTTCGGCGGTAGAGCCGCATTGGCCTGTCTATGTAGCCACACATATTTACTTTTATATCACATAGGTCAATTCATAGATTTCCACATGTTACCGTATTGCAATAACCATTCCATAAGTATTCGTCAATATGACAAAATAGTTCCGCAGCAACAAATTAAAACTTAAATATTTTATGATAATAGTCTATCTTATTTTATTAAATCATATTAATATTGGTCTCTGAATAGAGCTCTCATTACCCCAAGCATTATGATATTAGCAAAAATTAATTTCACTAATGTGTGCTTGAAATGTGTAACAAACAATGATATTTGTATAGAATACATCATGCATTAAGTAATGTTGTCTTCATCTAATAATTGTTAATATGCATTTGGTGTGGTGGGTTTCGTAGACTTGGAACTTGCAAGTGAATAGTAGTTGAAATAATGTTTATTTAATGTATCTAAATTTAAAAGAAAATGAGAAATGAAAGTTGAATTTATTAGATGATGAGTTAGTACATTGCATTTCTTTTGTTTATTGGTCCACACCACATGTTTTGTCATTCACAATTTATCCTACCACTCTAGCACATTAAATGACATTTATTATTTGTCATAATGTCCTTGTCTAAATGTTGCATGCAAATAAAACATATGCCATGTGAATGTATGTATTGTCTCTCCATGAAACTAAATTATTAAAGTAGCAATGAAGATAGAACTGAGAATGTATAGTTCTAAAAGTTAATAAAACTTACAAAGCCAACATATTGATGTATGTCGAACCAATACCTGAACCAATATTTGCTTTCTCCTTACTCATCTTCATGCCGCTCGTAAGAAGAGGTTATAGCAGAGCTATGAACAATAAAAGAGAATTTTGGCTACTCAAATGGTGGGAGTTTTTCTTCTATGCTCTTTTTATTTTCTATACTCACTTTTCATTTTTTTTTTATTTTCCTTTTCATTACCTTCCTCGCCTTTTGATTTTCATTTTTGGAAAAAATAGTACTTTTGTTTTATGGTTCTTGACTATGGTGGGTGTCCATTGAAGCATATTATATGCTCAAGAAGTAAGTGAAATGGCTAAAGGTAGAGCATGAAAATTCAGAATTTCCCCCATGAGTGATACGAAAAATTGGTTGGGAAAAAGTAACGATTGTAACAATTAGATTTCTGATACGGAAGATCATATCTAAGATGCAACCGTAGAGCATACTCTCGTCATATTACAAACTGAGCTCAAGAGGGCAGAGACTCGTGCTGATAACGTGTTATAAAACAAGAGAGAAAGAGAGAGAATAGAGAAAATGTTTCTCTTAGGTACAATTTTCATTATAACTGAAGCTCCTATTTATAGGAAACTTCTGATGGCACAACCGTAATAATACAATTACATCAGGGACAAAATAGTCATTCATATAAATTATTTTATAATAAATATTTCACAACATATTTATATATATCATTATATTTACTAGTCCAAAAATACCACTGATATTATGTTCCCGTAATAATGCGCACCCCTTGATTAGGTCGATATGAGCATTCTATCGTTGGAAAAAAAAAACGTATTTAAATTAGGTGTGGGCAAATAAACCAAATTTTTCCGTACCGAAATGATCCCCTTCCGAAAAATAAGGTTCCGAAAGATTCTCTTTATTTTTGTCCCGTTCCCGGTACCAAACCATTTTAAACAATGTCGGTACGGGTTTTAAATATTTTTGTACCGAACAGTCCCGTTTCATTTTTTTCGTACAAAATATTATATACATATATATATATATATATATTATACATTATTATTATATTCTATATTAGTATTATAGTACCAATTATATAATTAAATATATGTCATTTTGATATTCAATCTATAATAGCATTCTAACTTTGTAATATAATATATATATAAAAAAAAACAAAAGCTGAATTGTCCAAAACTAAACAATCAAGCCCAAAAAGGGGAAAAAAATAAGATTAAACAATGCATTTGGTAATTTGGTTTTAAACACAATATTTATGTTAGATCTTAGATGTTGGTGAGCGGTGACTTAAAATTTAATGGATTGTAATGAAATCAATACTCTTTAGGAATTTGGTATAAGTGAATACTTGAATCGGTGTGATTTATAATCGAAATAATGGAATCAATATGTTGATTGTTTATTTAAAATTTTAATAGAGTCATTATTTTTTGGTTTAGTTTATACGTTTGTCCCGTTTTGTCCCGTCCCGAGCCGTTTTGTCCTAGTCTCAAACGATACTAGTTCATTTGGACGGTGCCTCATCTCATACCGATTCATAAAAATGGGATTAGTGCCGGAACAAATCCCAGACCGTGCCCACCTCTATTTAAAAAACACTGTTTCACACTGGTTCATTGTACCAATTCATCCATTTATATATATATAATATAATTATATATATATAATATAATATAATTATTTCAAAATTCATAAACAAAAACCCCTTTCACAAACAATTAGGGTTTTTGCATTCACACAAGTTCAACATGAACTACAGGTTCCAAAATCTTCTCGGCGCGCCGTACCGCGGCGGCAACGTCGTTGTCGTCAACAACACCCAACTGATCTCCCCGGTCGGCAACCGTGTCTCCGTCACGGATCTCGTGAAATCCGAGACCATAACCCTACCCTGCCAGGCCTCCACCAACCTCCGCCGCATTGCAGCCTCATCTGACGGCGTTTTTCTTCTGACCGTCGACGAGAACAACCGCTGCCTCTTCATAAACCTCCCCCGCCGCGCCGTCCTGCACCGGATCACCTTCAAGCATCCCGTAGCCGATACGAAGTTCAGCCCGGACGGCCGCTTCATCGCCGTCGCCGCCGGTAAGCTCCTCCAGTTATGGCGTTCCCCAGGGTTTAAAAAGGATTTCTTTCCATTTGAGCTAGTTAGGACATTTGCTGATTGTAATGATCGTATTACTTCGATTGACTGGAGCCCCGATTCGAACTATTTAGTTGTTGGGTCGAGGGACTTGACTGCGAGGCTTTTCTACGTGAACACAGAGCGGAAAAAAACCAAAGGATTTGTTAAGCCATTTCTGTTTTTGGGTCACAGAGATGTGGTCGTGGGAGCATTCTTCGGAGTTGATAAGAAGACTAACACGGTTAAGAGAGTTTACACGTTGTCTCGTGATGGAGCCATCTTTAGCTGGGGGTGCAGTGATGGTGAATATGAGGAAATGGAGGAAGATTTATCAGAGCCAGAATCTCCAGGAACACCAGAGCAGGGCCTGGGGCAGAATGGGGAAAACAGCAATGGGATTAATTTGAAGAAAAGGAAAGATTTTAAAGATGAAGACTTGGAAGAAGATGATGGGCCCTTTTTATTGCATAACATGAAATGGGAACTGTTGAAGAAGGATTTTTTCATGCAAGCCCCCGCAAAATTAACAGCATGCCACTATCACAAGGGGCTCGATATGGTGGTTGTGGGATTCTCGAATGGGGTGTTTGGGCTCTATCAGATGCCCGATTTCGTGTGCATTCATTTGTTGTCAATTTCAAGGGAGAAAATTACGACGGCGGTATTTAATGATCTCGGGAATTGGCTAATCTTCGGGTGTGCAAAGCTTGGGCAGCTGCTCGTGTGGGAGTGGAAATCAGAGAGTTATATACTGAAACAGCAGGGGCATTATTTTGATGTAAACTGCCTTGCTTATTCTCCAGATTCCCAGCTTTTAGCCACTGGAGCCGATGATAACAAAGTCAAGGTTTGTGAAATTCCACTGCTTTTGGTCTGGTGCATTATTACAAATGCTGAAACGACCCTTGCGTTCTGTTCTCTCTTGTGTCTAAATGACTGCCATATTAATGTTCCTTCTTAATAGTGATGAGTGATTAGATGTTATTTTAATGTTGACATAGTTAACATCTGCTTATGTCTGTCTCCAGAAGCCAATTAAAGAGTAAACTGGAATATAACTGCCTTGAATTTGCAGGTCTGGACTGTTTCTTCGGGGTTCTGCTTTGTGACATTCTCTGAGCATACAAATGCTGTTACTGCCCTGCATTTCATGGCTAACAACCATTGCCTACTGAGTGCATCTCTTGATGGTACTGTTCGTGCATGGGATTTGTTCCGTTATCGGAACTTTAGGACATTTGTGACCCCTACACCAAAGCAGTTTGTATCTTTGGCTGCGGATCAGAGTGGTGAAGTGATTTGTGCAGGAACTCTGGATTCATTTGAGGTATTTATATTTGTTAAATGCGGCAATATAAATTATTTGTGTCTATGATTTGCAATAATGTGGCGATTCTCGACGGATTTCTCTAGATATTTGTTTGGTCGATGAAGACTGGCCGGCTATTGGATGTTCTCAGCGGCCATGAGGGTCCTGTTCATGGGCTAATGTTTTCTCCAACTAGTGTAAGCTCCTTTTGCATAACGAATATATCCTCTCCCTCTAAAATGTCACTTTTTTTTTTTTTCTTGCATAATGGCTTTTTACTCTTAAGAAATTTATTTACTGGTAATGCAGGCTATCTTGGCTTCCTCATCCTGGGACAAAACTGTCCGGTTGTGGGACATTTATGAAGGAAAAGCGGGTGTTGAGAGATTTGGTCACACGCATGATGTCCTTACACTTGTTTACCGCCCAGATGGTAAACAGCTGGCTTGCAGTACATTAGATGGGCAGATACATTTCTGGGACCCACTGGAAGGCGTGGAGATGTTCACAATTGAAGGCCGCAGGGACATTGCAGGTGGCCGGCTCATGACCGACCGAAGGTCAGCTGCTAACTCCACTGCCGGAAAGTGCTTCACGAGCTTGTGTTATTCTGCGGATGGCAGCTACATATTGGCTGGGGGAAGTAGTAAATATATTTGTATGTATGATGTTGCTGATCAGGTTAGCTGCAATCTGAGTCTTTGTGATGTTTGTGATAATATTATGATTTCAGCAAATTCTTTCACAATAAGGCATCTGTTGGTTTTGTTTCTTTGATTTAAGATCTGTTTATTTTCAAATGACCAACCTAGTTTCTTGGAAAAATATTTTTTACCTTTTTTATTTTACTTTCCTCGCTATGTTATTATCAGGACTGCAGCTTCACTTACCTATTTTTTCTTTCTCCTGGGCATTAAATTGTAACTTTTCAATAGTATTTATTATTTTTTCACAGCATTGCCATACATTGTCTCAAGAACATTACATTATTTAGAATTTATTTGTGAATTGTCTGTGAAAATATTGTGCCAACTTCCAGGTGCTTCTAAGGAGATTCCAAATAACCCTCAACCTATCCCTAGATGGGGTTCTTGATTTTCTCAACTCAAAGAAGATGACTGAAGCTGGACCGTTGGATTTGATTGACGACTATAATAGTGACATAGAGGAAGGTGTGGATAAACAAACACGAAACAGGACGGGATATGACCTGCCAGGATCAATGCCTAATAAAGGGAGGCCTATTATTCGAACAAAGTGCTTGAAAATTGCACCAACTGGCAGAAGCTGGGCAGCTGCAACAACTGAGGGGGTTTTGTTGTATTCTATGGATGATTCGTTTATATTTGATCCCACTGACCTGGACATTGATGTTACACCCGAGGTGAGGCAATGATACATATGTTCCTTTTATGTTTGGTTAAAAGCATAAATTCTTATTTTGATTAAAGATTGTCCTTTTATGTTGTGTAACTGATAATTTTCTTCTGATATATTAGGCGGTTGATGAAGCATTGAGAGACGACCAAACAAAAAGAGCTCTAATCCTCAGTCTCCGCTTGAATGAAGATGCCCTTATCAAGAAGTGTATCGTGTCTGTAACTCCTTCAGATATTCCAGGTGTCGCCTCATCAGTGCCGATCAAATATTTGCAGAGATTAGTTGAGGCGCTCGCTGATCTTCTTGAAAAGTGTCCACATCTGGAGTTCATTCTCAGATGGTGCCAGGTCTATATTCAAACTATATCTTGATATTAAAAAAAAATAAAAAAAATAGTATGTATATATTTATCACAAAGTAGAAAGACTGTACATAAATAAAATGTGGTAAAAAGGGCAAATAGAAAACTCGAAAAATAGAAAGTAAATGTGGGTTGTTTGTGCTTCTGAGCAGTTCTGCTTGAATCCGGAGTTTTGTGTTTCATTTGTACAGGAACTTTGCAGAGCCCATGGCAATGCTATTCAGCAAAATTCGAGGAATCTGCTCCCTGCTTTGAAATCCTTGCAGAAATCAATTACTAGGTTGCATCAAGATTTGGCTGATACTTGCTCTTCCAACGAGTATACACTTCGGTATTTGTGCTCCACAAGCAGCAAGAGATAATAGCCGCCATTGGTGAACATAAAAAACCACATATTTTGGTAAGCGTTTGTGTTTAAATGTTGTTTCCTAGGTTTTATGATGCAGTTTTAATGTTAAAATATTTCAACATTTAGCAGCTTGATGAAAACGAGAGAGTCGGATCAAGAGCAGCAGTCCCTTGACGATTTCGAGATGTAGAGGTTGTGATTGTAACTGTTTGGACAATCCTCGACGGCTATAGAGAAGAGTTTATGATTACCATTTTTGACTGGCAAAAAACACAGGTGGTTGTTTGTCATGTTTGATGACCATTATATTATCTTCTTTGTTTTAAGTTAATGAAAATGTAGTTGTATCTTGGGTATTTGTAGAAGTCCAAGTTTGAACCCCATTGAGAGTTGTGTTTTATTTTTATTTACCTCGCTCGTGTGTTGCAAGAGAAATTAACTTGGTTATAAATTCACATTGTCTGTTGCTTAAGCACATTCCAAGAACCTCTCTTGCTGAAGAGAATGAGAATTGTTCTTTAGCAAGTGTAAGCTTTGAGTGTCAACTCAGTAAATGCAACTGTCACAGATAGTGTTGGCAATAAAACTCAAAGTCTTATTACAGGAGGAGCTTTATAAACTCAAAAACAACAAGAACACACAACAAAGAAACTTCCCAGCCAGCAAAAAGCTACAAAATTTCCCTTTTCCTCATCTCAAAAACAAGGAAACAAAACACACAGAGAACAACAAACAAACAAACAAACTACAGATAAACACAGATCCCAAATTTTCAAGAAATCTAGTAACCCTTCTTCCTGTGCGGATCCTCCACACCCTTCTCCTCCTCCTCGGCCTCACCCATCCCAAGAGTATGCTTCACGGCCTCAGCGGCCCCTTGAGCCATCCCCTTCATCTGCTCCCCAGTTTTCTGCAGAATACCTCCTGTCTTCTCCTTCCCGGCCTCTGCAGTCTCCTTGCCGGACTCTGCCATCTGGCCTGCTTTCTCCCTGGCCGCCTGGGCTGTCTCTGAAGCCTTCTCCTTGGCGGACTGGGCCGTCTGGGAAGCCTTCTCCTTGGCGGACTGGGCCGTCTCGGAGGTCTTCTCCTTCGCGCCCTGGGCCTTCTCCTTCGCACTCTCCATGGCTTGCCCTGTTTTCTCCTGCATTTTTTATTTTTCCAATTAATAACTCAAATATATTATTCTAAATTTACTTTGCCTTTTTTTGTTCTTCTTTATACCTGGGTACGGCCCTTGGCTTCACCAGCTCTGTAGGTTTGCTCGTGAGCAGACATTGTTATAAGAGAAGAGAATTTCTAAAAACTTGAACTAGTGGATTTTGAACTGAGATTGAAACGTACAGTGGATTTGAGCGAGTGTGTAAGAGGGCATTGGGGGGGGTTTCTTTTATAGATGTTAGAGAGAGTGAAGGGAAGCTACCACGTGTCCTGCTGGGCCGACGCGTGGAAGGGGTACGTGCCCCTCAGCAGTGAGCTTACGTGATTATTTTTTCATCATCATCGTCACATATATATATTTTTTTAAAAACTTAGCTGCGAATTCAAGATCGGGGCGGTGGCCTTTATCACAGTTATTGTTTAGCAACGGAAAAGAATAAAAAACAGGATGAAATATAAAAGATCATTTTTTTTTTTTTTTGAAAGGAGTTTCGGATTAGAGATCAAAAGTTTCCCGTGTGCGCGCAATCGGTGTAGGGAGCGAACTTTTGTCAAAAATTACAAATTCTGTGTGTCCATATAACTCACGGGCGTAGCCAGAAAAAATATCTACCTGGCTGATCGATTTTCAACAAATATTTAATAATATAATTTGATATTAAAAACGAAAATATTAGAAATTAATTTTTTACTAGGATATAAATATACAATGCTTCATATTCATTTAAAAAAATTAAAAAATAGTCTAAAAAATTATAAAATAGTCTTTTATATAAATATGTCTAGGCACTCAGTAGCGCCTACATGATTTCCACGAATTTTGGCTAGACGGCTATTACTGGCGTCCGAAAGATTAAACTAGAGCTATGAGGTTGTAAAGTTACTCACGTGTAGACTTTATATTGGCTAGATCTGCCCATATTTTTTATTTTTTTCATACTTAATTATTCAATAATAAAAATAATTTTATTTTTTGTGTGTGGAATATAAATCAAATATAAAATAAAAAATAATAATCATTATATTTAAATTAGTACAATAATTATGAATGGATTAAATTTTTTACGATATTGTACTTGACCATATTAATTAATTTATTTCATAAAATATATCTCATAAAATATACATTATGATAAACATAGATAAATTTTATTAATATACTTACGACCGTCTAAATGCTTTTTAAAATATTGATAAAAAGTACAAGGAATAACAAAAGGCACATCATTCATTGTCACCTCTCTTTCTCATCATTATCATATTAGAATTGACTGGATACAAACCTATTTCAAATATTAAATATATTCAATATTCATTAAACAGATTTTGGATAAACTTTAAATGTTGTGAAACAAGTGAAAATAATAAATTATTGAGTAATATAATTTCTTTAAAGCAATTAAAATAAATATGCATACAATTAATAGTACGCAATATGTAACATGCTATTGATTAGGAGAAATAATATTTTGATAGAGAGAAAGTGGGGGTGTGATATACATTGTCAAAAAAGCAATGTTATACAAAAACAAAAAATAAAAAGGATTGTGATTGAAAAACTGTCCAAGTAAGAGAGGGATAGAGGATGCTGGAGGCCAAAATGAGATAGGCCATGTGTTTTTTATTATTATTTCAGCCCAAAATCTACTAAAAGCCTGCTTTTAAGTACTTTTTAAAGGAAAAAATTTAAGTCTTTTTTACTAGTTATGGGCTGAACATTAATTTCCGTGGGCTGAATTAATACATGAATGGGCTTACTAGTCAAAAAAAGAAAAAACAAACTCGGGCTGCAGCCCACCCCAACTTTTGGGGTAGTTCCGCCCCTGATATTACCGTGTACAACTTATCAGATATTGGTGATGTTAATATGTTAAAAAAATACATCACTAATTAGTGCATGCTATATAAATGGTGAATATATTAAATATGTGCTTATCGTAGATAGATAAACATTACTGTAATAACTTTAATTAAAATATGCATATATATGTTTGTAAGCTAAAATTTGAATTGTTAAAAATAGAGTTTGGACTAGAGTTCAAAAGGTTTTTAGTGCGCAATCGAATTATGGAACTTAGTAAAACGCACACCACTCTTTTAATCTCTTATTACTACGTACCGACTCCATAATTATCTTTTTGCCTTAATACTTTTCCTTTCTCGCTCTAAAAAAATTAAATAGTAAATATAGATGTATGTTTATATTAAAAATAAGTATATTTTTATAATTATATTAAATACTCATAAATTAAAAAAATATAAAATTAAGTAAATAATGAAAAAAATATTAAATAAAAATGAATAATTAATTAAAAAATATGTATAAAATTATATTTAAGTTTGAAATAATTACATTTATAATTATATGAAAAAAGTATATTTTTATAATTAATTAAAAATATATATATAATTATATGAAGTTTGAATATATATTTATATAAATTTGTAAATTAAAAAATTGATTATAAAAAAAAAATAATAATAAAAAAAATCTGCCGTTTGGCCGACGATCGCGGACGTGCACGTCACGTCATATCGGAGAAACAGGACACATATGCTTCTGTTCTACTTGCAAAACCGGACAACGCCCTGCGCGACCGGTTTTATCGGCTAGATTTCAAGATTTTCTTTTTTAAAAGAAGGACAAAATTGTTCAAGAGGAACGGTACGTAGTAATAGGAACGGTAAATAGCAACATTTTTTTACCGACACTCAAAATCATGGTTGTTGAAATAATTTTTAATTATTCATTAAATTAAAAAAAGGAAAAAGAGAAAGAGCACTAGAAAATGAAAATGCTAAAACTGATAACAATATAAAACGAAAAAAGAAAAAGATAACAAAATGCTAAAACTGATAAAAATATAAAACGAAAAAAAAAGATAAACAAAATCCAGAAGTTGGTGCCGCTCAGTGTTTAAGTTCTGGTTTGGCTCCCTTCCTGAGGTTTCCGGCGGCAGCTGTCCTGCTCCGCCCCAAACACCGCCGCCCTTGTGTTCCTCGCTCCCCCTGGACATGGCTGCGTGCAAGTTTCTTCTCTCTCTCTTTAAACTCACACGATTTCGGCTTCGTATCTGTTATTTTTCTTTTACCATTTTACGGTGCTTATTTGTTTCTTGTAATTATAAATTTGTTACCAAGTATACTGTTCTTAGTTGATGGAACTGGTTATTCCATTAATCCGGTAACGGCATTCCATTTTTTGCTGATTTTCCCGGATCGTGGAATTTCAGTTTTTCTAGGATTTTAAACACACCGAGTGATTACTGTTGTGTTAAACTAGCTTTTTTTGTTATTTGAAACATCTATGATGGTTTTTATTTTGTGGTATTTGTTTCAGGCGGTTTTGGGGCTTCAAGCCTTAAGATAAAGAGCTTGGATTTGTGTTATGTGACTGAGAGGCCCAAATTGAGTACATTGCAGCCCCTCCATGGCTCAAGGACCCCGAAATTTGCCCGATTTGATGGTTTAGTGCTTTCACATAGACCAAGGAACGAAATAATTGGATGCCGAAGCTCAGTTTCCGGTGCTGAGTGTGAGTTGACGATATTATCGTGATTTTTTTCAGCTTCATTTATAGAAAACTTCAGTAGTTCTCTTGATGAATGGAACTTTGTTCTGCATAACAATATTTTATGATTGAAGGGTTTCGGTTCGGAATTGTTGGTTACTCGTGTAAATATCGAGTTGAGTGAAGTTATGTTGAGTTAACTATTAACAGGAGTAAAATGGCATTCGTCATTCAATGTGTTCATTTGTTTCTTGGCTATACCTTTTTAGGATTATAAAATTTCATTTTGTTATGTTAATAATGAAAGGGTTGCATCTGGGAATAAAGCTTTGCCCCTGACACCTCTTCTGCATGACTCTCGATTTATTACAGCCAAAAGATGTGTAGATTAACTGTGTAGTTTAATTGCTTCTTTGCAATCAAGTTATAATTATCTCTTTTAAAGTTAAATAACTCAGATGGTAAAATAAATTCTTGCTCCAGAAGAGAAGTTTAGTAATTGCTACTGGCTGGTCATTGCGACGAAGGAAAGGCATTCAGTTATTTATTTAACATGGCAACATGCATTGGTCTTACAAAAAGTTTGGGCTTGAGAATGATTGTTGTTACACCTTCACTGTTTCTCTTTGTATTTCATTTAGTTTTAAAACAATGACAGCTAATGCCAACACAGAGGATGATTCGAAACAAACTGAGTCAACTAATGCAACAAGCTCACTTATTCCGAATGCACTTGAGGTAAGTTGCTTTATTGCTTTATTTATGGCCACAACTATCACACTCGGTTTTTATAATCCATGATTGTTGCTTTATTTTCTGAATGATCTCATTTCTTAATTTAATGAAATGGACAATGAAATAATAGAATTAAAGTATGACAACAAAGAAGCTCCTGATCGAAGCCTTCCATGCCAGTAGACAAAAGCTGAAGGTAAAAGTATAGTACTAGATAGTCTGGTTCCTTCTCTATTTTCGTCAATGCAAATCCAAGCAGCCATTTGCTTACATCTTGTTAAGAGACATGAACATATATAGTCTGATGGAGATTGAGAAATTGAGACAGTGAATTATTTACTCAAGGAAATGGAAAGCTGGAATGGAATAAAACAAGTGATGTGATATTAGAAGCGCAAATCATGAGATTGGCTGGGATAGTGGAATCGTGGGATATAGCTTGGCATTGAGGACTATCAAATGTTTATCTTATTTTTTCCTTTATTATCCTATTACTTATATAGATATATGCTTATATAAGTGAAGATTAAACATTTAGAGAGAGATGTTTATTTCAGCTTTTTGCTTGGGCAGGAGATTATTTTCCAAATAGAAACTCGTGTTCTTATCTTTACTTGTCTACATAATAATATTTAGTTTCTATTACATTGACCCTTTACTCCTATCAAATACCTTAACGCTCGTCTCTGCCGTGCACGTCTCAAATGAGCATGCGTCCAAGAAGAATGGCTGCTATATGCTCACCAGATAGCCCTCTCACTTCTTTGTATAAATATATCGATTTTCTTAAAGAGGCTTATTTTTTATATTTCAATGAATTTTCATTTATTCCAAATTAATGTTTTTATTTATTTTTCTGGAACTATTCTCAATATATACTTAGAAAGGTATTCAAGATTGCAAATAAATGTATGAGATGTACTTTTTTATAAAGTAAAACATGGGTCACTGATACTTGAATCATCAACAATAGGTGTAAACATTCAAACTGATTTGGTATTGTGTTAATAAGAGAAAGGCGTAAATGGGATGTGGATGCTCTTATCTTCGTACTTGGTTGATTGATAGCTTTTAAATTTCCTATCCCCTTGCTCCTGGGCATGATGAACTAGCTTTTTCTTTCCTGTGCTCTGAAACCTGTCCACAAATCCCAGATTCATGGTTATGTATGATTTTGTAGTACATGAAAATATTACATCAGTTTCTGTAAATAATTGGTACAACAAATCATGTTTTCCAGGTGGAGCATCTTCTGACAGAGCTGTGTGACACAACATCAATTGCTGAGCTCGAACTTAAAGTGAGCAGCTTTTGTCTATTCTATGTGCCAAAAAATTAATAAATAATAATAATAATTAAAATCAAATGGTACTTAATTCTTGGAAAAAAGATCATTTAGAGTATATACATCAATTGCTTCCGGTTAAGTATGAAAACCTTCGTTTTCTTACTTTCTCCCTTGGTATTTTCTTTTCCAATTGTTTTAGTATATTTGATTTCATGGCCAGCTCGGTGGATTCCGGTTATATGTGTCGAGAGACTTGACCAAACAAAAGGAACCTCCAGTTCATGCTCCAGTGACCCACACAGTTGTTGAGACACCACCTTCAAATGGTTTTGCTTCATCTCCATCTTTAGCTCTCGTGAGACCAAGATCATCAGATGATATTAAGACACTGCTTGATAAGGCAACAGATGAGGGCTTGGCTATACTTAAGTCTACAACTGTACGATCCCGCAATATTATTTTGTAAATTAGTTTAAAAATAGTCACTTAATTCACAGGGTTACATCTAATTGAGAAAAATAAAGAAAAATAATAAAAATAAAAATCATGGGGTATATGTAATTTTAAAAGATTGATTGACATTTAATCTTTTTATGTAGCCATGTAGTTTGAACCTTAACGGCAGTTTATCTAATTAACCTTTCTCTGTGAAACGAAAAACAATCGCTATTTCAGTAATGAGTAGCATCATTTTCTGGATGTTTGTACACTTAGTTTATGCCTAATGCAGGTTGGAATTTTTAGGAGATCCAAGACCATTAAAGGGAAGAAGTATCCTCCACCTTGCAAAGAGGTGTCCATTCCTTGTGGTCTTCCCTTTCTCATTTTAATTCTTTTACTATTTCCTTTTTCGGGAGCTGTATGGTGCATGCTATTTTTATCTACTTAATGTTGTGGGATATTTGAGACATACCAACTAAATCTTAATATGATGTTTTGCTTCTAGAAGGTGTGAATAATCCATCATTGAAATGTATAATCCTTCATATCTTATCTTGTTGGCATTTGTAAGTTCAAAGCAAACCTCCATTTGGTGGACTTGAGAACTCTGTTTTTATTATTATTAGTATTATTATTATTATTATTATTATTATTATTATTATTATTATTATTATTATTATTATTTTGTATGATCAACAAAAGTGGACCTTTGAATTTCCAAGCTATTAATGTCTTTGTGTTGCCCCGCTCTGGGTACTGCCTTTGTAATTTTGATTTGTACAGAAGTTTGAATAGAAACTTTTGTGCGTAATAAAGAGTTTGAAGACGTTTACTAAATTATGGTTGGCTTCAATGGACCTTTTCTGTTTAGCTGTCCATATTGATTTGCTATTCCAGTTTCGATTCAAAAGGTCATGTTATTTTATATTTATGGCTCCTGTTTTACTTGTCATATCTTACTACCATTGGTGTGTGATGCTTGCTTACTAATTGCAGTAAGTCATGCTTTTCAAATATTAAACAGTGTTTTGTTATTTAAAAAAAAAAGCAGAAAGACAATGTGAAGGAAGGCAAGGTGCTCTGCTACATTGAACAGCTGGGTAGCCAGCTCCCTATTCAGGTACATGCTTGGCTTTTAATTGGCATTGGTGTTTTTTTCCCTTCCAAATTGACATATGTTCGTTAACTTGTTGTCTTCCATTTCCTTTCTTCTTCTCATAACAAGTAAAGAACCTCCCACCACAGCATGGTAATGTTCTAGGAATTAACTACAAATGCTAGCCTTGGGATTTTATTTACAAAAGGACCCATATAATTTTGGAATAATAATACTCCCGGTGCTGATATCCATTTTCCTGACGGCTTGATAGAATTAAGGTTTAAAAGAAGAATAAATCTTGGACATATGTTTTATTAAATTGAAGAAAGGAACAATTTTAACTGGCGAAGCCTGGTCCCAAGTGTAGGTATCAGGAAAAAACTTTCTGCCCAAGCCTAAAACTGACAATCTTTATCAACAAAAGATAAACTTAGGTAACCAATAGTCCAGTTTATAAAGTCTAATTTAAAACATAATCCTAATGGGGTTTTAAGGCCCAATTATCTAATTAAATAACATTAACATTCAGCAACACGACCATCTCTAGCATTGCTCCTTGCCTCTATTGAGGGGTTATTGTATAACATGCATGCATAGGGGGCTCTGCCATTTTGTAGTTTATAAAGTTAAATAATTGGATCGAAGTTTTGATTTAGACTAAATCTCAAGGCTGATTATTTGTGATTTTATTTGATAGTAATGAATTCAGTAATGCTTGTCATCATGGGACAAAAAGTTCCTTTCTTTTTGATACGTATGTTTTTCTGATCCTTCGAAATGATTGTTTATTCTTTTTCCTCAGTCTGAAATAGCAGGAGAAGTGGTAAAGATACTTAAAAAAGATGGAGGTATGTTTGTCAATGAAAAAAAATAATCGTTCTTTCTGCCTATATTTGTGCATTGTGATCACTTTGTACTACTCGACACTCACAGATCCTGTTGGCTATGGGGATGCTCTTATTGCTATTCTTCCTTCCTTTCCGGGAATAAAGAAGCTTCAGTAGATTGAGTAGAATGCCATTGAGGTGTTTGCGAGTATTCACAATTTCACATTGCAATTTGCAAAGAATGTTTTTTGAAGTATTGTTTGTATTGGCTGTGGATAACATCTTGTGTTTTAAATTTTGTTTTCGATTATCAGGTAATTATAGCTGCACAATAAGATTAAACTGCTACTGGACTCATACTTAATAATGTCTGTATTTCTCATTGGAGAATCATCATAGTGGGTTCTGTTGTCACTCTAATGCAACCTTTATTATATAAAGAATGATGTTTATTTGAAAATGCATGTCCAAGACAAAGATGCCACTAAAAGGTGGATTTATTATTTATTGGTGACAACAACAGAAAAAGAGTAAGAGCGAAGGACCTGAAGAGACTCAAGCTCAAATAACAGGCATGTCTTGTGACTGTCCCGAGAAGTCGTCCCGTCTGTAAATCCTAAGATTGAGCACTAGAAGAAGAAAATGTAACAATAAGACTTTGTTCAACCAAATGACCAACAGAAATAAAATTCACGGCCAAGTTAGGAATGCAGTATGTGTCGGGAAGATGCAATGAAGGACAAGAAACCAGACTAGTGTGAGTAATATTCATATGAGTACCATTGGGTAAAGAAGTTACGGAAGAGGAGGAAGACAAAAACTGTGGACTAGAGGTCACAACAACCAGAATAAAAATACCAATTATGTGACCAGATAACCTGTTTGGGAATAACTTCTATGTCTTGAAGAGTGTAAAAGGAGTGCTGAGGCTCATTAGTGACAATCGCTATAACGGAGAAGTGGCAGTTGAAGAAGACTTAAGAGACCCTCGATATCGGAAAGATGAACCTCCTGGAAGTTGTGATTTGACTGGACAATTTGGAGCAATATGACCCTGAGCATAGCAAATGTGGCACTCCACGTTACGACAAGTATCATAAGTTTGCTCAGAGCTCTTGCAAATCTTACATTTTACAGAGATTGGCAGCTGAGACTGATGTGACGTAGCGGAAGCATAAGTAGGCACAATTAGTGCAGACTCAAGATGTGGTGTCTTGTCCAACTGAAGGTGAGTCTCTTCAAAAGTGATCTCTTGAATAGGAGAATCAAGCTTTAGAGGGAGCGGAGGAAGAAGTGACACAAGTTAGGGTTGTTTCCACACCAGGAAAGGGGAAGGCCATTTTTGGCAAGGTGCGGAACTCTTCCATGGGTGCCAGGGGATGACGATGCAAGAGAGAAGTACGAACAATCTCATACTCAGGACGAAGAGCCATCAAAATTTGAACAATACCATCGGATCAGTCTTGGATATGTTAGATCAATTTTTCCTCAAAGCTGAACCAAAACTGGCTTGTGTGATACATGATCCATTTTTTATTTTTCCTGGAAATCCGGTGAACATGCCCGAGTCAGCTGATCAGCGGTTAGGCCGGTGGCCACCTCCATCTACTCCTAACCCCATCTTTTACATTACCATCTAAGAGAGAGAGGGGCTAATTAATATATTTATCAGGGTTAATCCTATTGAATTGCGGTTAGCTTAGTCCAACCTCCAACTAATTACGACGTCACACCTCAATCTAGGGTTTAGCAATGGTCAGTTCGGTTTTGGGATTAAAAAATTTCCAGAACCAAATTGAACTCCGAGATCCCAAAAATTGGATCTCTGGAACTGAACTAGATCTAGTATATCTCAGTTCTGAACCAAACCAAAATTTCAGTTCGGTTTGGGTCAGAAATTCGATCCTAATGGGTCGGTTCAATACGGATCGGAGATGTCAGAGACTTTTATTCTTTTTAATAATCTTTCCTTTTAAAAAATCTTCTAATTGCATGTTAGATGGTACATATTATGGATGAAAGAGAATCACAAACCTCTCTTAATTTCAAAAGATATTTAATAATAAGTATGATGATTAAAATCTTTTTTTATTTCATAAAAAAGAGTGATAAATATTTTTTAGTTGTACAATATCATTAATACAAAAAAAAAAGAAAAATTATTTGAAATATTTATATGCTAATCGTTTATATACCAGAAAAATTGCAAGTGATAAGACGTACTCATAAACAATAATAAATCTAAGATAGTTACTTGTTAAATAAAAAATATTTTGAAATATATTATGTTCAAATAAATTGATCTCTTCTGATATCGTGAGATAAGCATATAGTACATATAAAGTTTGTTTTCGAAAAGTAAAGATACTTAATCTAATTAAGTTATAATTAATTAATTTATTAACGAAATAATCGATATCTCTTTTTTAATCCAATATTATGGTAACAATTTCTATCAATTTATTTTTATTTTAAAATATATCACCATCAAATAAATAATTCTCTCCAATTTTTGTGACAGGCTTACTTCGTAAAGGTCGGTTTCTAATTATTTCGATATTTAAATTTGATTTAGTTATAATTAATAATTTTTTTAATAAAATATTTGACATGTTTGTTATCAATTTTTTGATAGGAGGAGTATATTAATTTTATTTATTTTTTCAAAAAAAATATTAGAAAATGAGATCTTAGAATTAATAGTGTCTCATATGCAGTATGTGTTAACATTCAATAGTGGATATTATGGTAATTCAATTTTAAATATAATTTATGATAGTTTTATGGACATAGACATAATGTATATAATTTTTATTTGCAATCAATTTTAAATATAATTATGTACAAAGATTACAAAACTATATAAGATAAATTATTTTATTTATATGGATGTTATGAATTGGAATCAATTCTTGTTTGGCTCCTCGATTCGATACTGTTATTTTCGGTTCTATTCAATTCGTTTCGTTTCCCAATACAAATATTTTAAGAGTCTCCATTCCAATTCAGTTCGGAGATAGCCAAACGATCAACAAATAGTTTTGATAAATTCAGTTCGATTTTCAGAATTATTTTAAGATCTCCAATTCCTTCCCCAATCAAAATAAAAAGCTTCCACAAATTACGTGTACAAAATGCCACATGCTTTCAGGGTCAGTTTCGTAAATGCAAGCTCTGCACCTCCCTGCATGAGCATATTCGTACGAAGCCTGTAGAACATTTGCAGGGGAAATTGCAGAGCTCCATTCTGCAGGCTGCCCACTCTGCTCACGAATTCGTCATTGTCACTTTCAACCCTAGAAATGAAACCCGCTTTAATATGCATTTGCTCACAAATCTTCTGGCTTCGATGAATGATTAGTCTCGAATCCAAAGCGTTTTCCCCCATTTTCACGCATTCGACCGTGACTACTTTCTCGCTCTTAAACCCCTCAATTTTTTCATCAGATCCCGAGCTTTCCACGGCCGATACCGATTTGAGCTTTCCCTGTTTGCAGTAAATCACGATCTTCCGCCAAATGGTTCATATGGGTTCGCCCGATTTTTCCCCATGAAAAACAGTTCCCACTTTTCTTGAGCTTCGAATTTTCTTTACAATCTTGAACATGAACAGTTATACTGATAGTCCGGCTTATCCTCCGGCTGATTCCAGCTGCGAAATCGTGTACGGTGGTCGCTCATGGCCAGCCAATTTCAGCCGCCAATCGGCATCCGTTCACTGCCATTCCGCTTTCAGAAACCCTAGATTTTCGGAGAAAAACTCGTACACCAAACCGAGAGTACCCTTATCTGTCAACAGGTCGAAGCTCGACATTCCTTTCAAGTCGGAGCTGTGCCGTCTTTTCCAAGCGGGCAAATGTTACTATGGCGAAAACTGTCATTATTCTCATAGCAAAAGCGAAGTTAGGAGAAACCCAGATCTTAGACCAGTTTCCATGAAGGAGCATTTGAATGAGGACAGAAAACTGCAGGTGTGTTACTATTTCTCGAATGGGTTCCATTGTCCTTACGGTGAGAGGTGTAATTTTCTTCACGAGTGCAGACAGAAGAAAGTCATGAGGGGCGATGGCGTGAACAGAGAAGGATGTGCCATAAGTGTTCGGAGTGAAAGGTCTTGTAGAAATTCAAGTAATCAGTATCCATGGAGGAGCTTGAGCCCTGGTAGGAGAGATTCTAATGATAAGTTTGACTTTAGAAAGACGAGGCTCTGTGGAAAGTGGATGATGTTTGGCAGTTGCCATTATGGTGTGAGATGTACTTATGCTCATGGGACGGCAGGTAAGAAATGACCCAATGGTTTGATTTCATTTCTTATATGGCGTTTTAGAAAGATCTATGGTGGATCTTATGGGGAATTTGCAATTGTATATGGACATGACTTGCTTGCTGTGTGATAGGAAGGCCCTCGTGATGTTATTAGTTTCATAGTCGACTGATAATTCGCCGGAAGCTAATGCAATCTTGACTGTTTTCGGTTGAAGTAGATATTGCAGTAAATGTTTTCCTTGTTCACATGCTGAAAGAGTATCTTAATTGGTTGTGCATAATCGACTTCATCGACCCACTCGTTCTGCATCTTAACAGGATCATATTAATGTAATCTGCTCATTTTTTTTTTTTGTTAGTTTTGTTTTAGTAGAGTGAAACATGATGGCTACACCGCTACATGAGAGTAAATTTGTATAAAAAACATCTTAGTAGTTGAAAAAATATATTTTCTTATTAGGCTAGCCAATTGCTGCTTATATGATCTTCCATCTGTTGCTCTAACCCAGAAGAAAGTGTTTTTTTTTTTTTTTTTTATTCAGCTCTTGATGAAATCTTGCCTTTATGAAAATTTAGATAAAGTTGAGAATTATTTAAATCTCACGTTGTTGGACTTACCGGGTGGTAAAGGTTTTCTGCCCTAATGGTTGTAAAATGGTAATTCTGTTTTACACAGCTGTCATAAATTTCAGTTGATATACGATTATGGACTTAAATATGAAATCTATGGTGTTTGGCTGGGCTTAGTTCTTCATGATTGAAATTCCAATTCTGATTGCCTCTGATGTGTACAGAACTTCGAGAACTCGGGTTCTCTTCAGGACCCAAAGATGCAGAACCAAGTGAAGTCAAAAGCAACATTGCTCAAAAGCTTGAGTCAAAAGGCAGAAGCTATTTCAACAATTGGGACATTGCGAAGATCAGTCAAATTTATGCTGATAATTAGATGTATGACAAGCACATGTTCTATTTTAATACCTGCTTTGGAGAGATATTGAACAGCATGTAAGAGTCCCACATCGAAATAGGTCATCAACTAGCGAGTTACAAGAGTAGAACAATTGTTAGGAGGTAAATCTTTTGTAGCAGTTTGTGCATCCAGCTTTTTTCTTGCTCTTGTTATCCTGAATACATTCTTATGTAGAATGACTTTAGAATGAGATGCATCTTTTTTGGAAAGTCTAAGCCATTGTCTGATACGTATATTGCTGTGTGTTCTGGGTGGATTTTGATATATACGAAACTAAGCTACATAAATTTTGTCTGAAAGTTTGGTTTACACTGGCTTTCTTCCAGAAATACGAATACCCACCGAGGTGTTAATGAACACTCCTTGGACTGGTATTCTTCCCTTTAGGATGAGGATGTGATACGAAATTCCAAAACTATATGCATACATACAAAGATCAAGGGGCATTTTAATCATGCCTGCAAATTTCATTACAAATAGAACTTTACTATTTATTCAGATATAAAAAAATAAATAAATAAATTATTAATCATCATCATTTTGTGGAAGAACCTGAACTAGCCTCTCTCCACTTACCGATTACCTACAGATTGAGCAAACTTAAGACACGAACGGGCTAAACCATCCATGGGATCAATGCATTTTGTCCACAAAGGGTCGTTTGGCGGCAAAAGTTGCCGAAAATCATCAGAAGCAAGGATGACTCTGTTCACAGCTCTCACAAGCAGAACTTGCAAAGCTATTCTGAACAAATTTTGTGCACCATCAACGTCTTTTCTGTTTAGTGCTTCAACTGCTGGGATCACCATATGCTCTACAGTTGCCTTATCTGGCAGTATAACCTCGAAACCCTGTAAAAATTGACAAAATCACAAAGTAACTTGCTAAACTAAGATGATATGGCATAGTCAAGAAACTAAACAACACCTCGTTTTCAAGCTTTTCTTGATAAAATCTAGCCACCAAGTTCTCATTAGTGGCAAGAACACCAATTCGGATCGGACTTCCAGCTTCGATCGGTCGCAGCTTAGCTTCCTTAAGTTCTTTGGCCACACAATCACCAACATGAAGAAAATGAACACAAGATCCTTGCTCAATTTCATCATACCAAGAGTGTAGCAAGTGACATGGCATTGCAAGGCAGCAAACTCCGGATTTTTCAAGTGAAGTTCTCCTTCCCTTTATCTTCTCCACAATTGAGCTGTGATCGAAGCTTCTAATCATTCCATTCCTTCTCGAAAAAAATTCTCTCTTGAGGGAGGAAAGCTCCTCGCTTAGCAATGGATCACAAGAAAGCATAAAAGGCGGGGGGCTATATTTTTCTTCAATGTCCTCGAAATTGACCAACTTTTTTGCAAAACTTAGGCCCGACTCAACCGACACGCCTCCGATTATGCCGATGCAGTTAGATTGGGCAGTGAATGGGGAGCAGTTACAATCGTTATCTGAAGATATAGGTCTTGGCTCGGGCGGATAATGATCATTTCTTTCGCCTTGTTTGATGATCAACGATGGAAGTTTGACCGGGGATATTGAGTTTTTCTTGCCGTGGCTCTGGGTTGTACGTTTATTTACACAATTTTTCACATGTTGGTAGTTGAAAGATTGGAAACACAGTGACATGCTTGTACCTAAGAACATATAGAACTGGAAAAAAAACAAAAGACAAAATGTAAAAAACTATGGTACTAGTAAAACAGCTAAAAGAATCAAGAATCTTTAATATCAAGGCTAGTGATATTATCAAGCAAGAAAGAAAATCATGATAGGTTTATAAAGTTAATGACATCCAAAGAACAAGGAAAAAACAACTCTTTTTTCTACTTATACATCTCTAAACTTCAAAACACACACACATACACACACACACAAACACACACACACACACACACACAGTGTACAGAAAAATATATCTCCAAAGTTTTTGGGTCCCTTTTTTTTTTTCACAAAATAGCCAACTTGGAAAGAATAATCACCGTTGGTGTCATCAATCACATTAATTACCAACCTGTCACCAAAAATTTGCAATTAATAATAAAATAGTTACATTATTAGGACAAAGAGAGCTAAAGAAACAAAATAATTTTTGGGTTTACATGTGCAAGTGTGCCCGACATGGCGGCGCATGCCATGAGACTGCATGTTTATTGTTTAGGTACTTATAATTTAGAGGTGAACCAGAACCAGTGAACATTATAAGGTTATGTGTAGGGTGTGTTTGGTAAACCTAGCTGATAAGCTATAAGCTAACTTATAGCTTGTAGCTTATGATTTGTAGCTAAAAAACTAACTTATATGATAAAAGTGTTTGGTAAAATTAGCTTATAAACTAGTTGAAATAAAAAAGTCAACTAGCTTATTTTGAAACGCTACCTAAACAAGCTTATCAAATAAGCTCGAGCTTTTTAAATAAGCTCGTCCTACCAAATGAGGCTTATTTGATACAGAAAGCTTATAAGCTAACCAAATAAGCTATAAGCTAGCTTATTACACGTGTCAAACACACCCGTAGTCTTTAACTAATGGAACTGTTAGCGTCGTACATTACTAGATTTTTCGAAACAAAATCTGGCAACACAAAAAGGATCGTTGCAATTGCCATCATTTTTTCTTTACTTTAATTTGAGTCGAATATTCAATTAAAAAGTTGTTAAAAAAAAAA